GAGGATTACAAGGAAACTTCTCCGAACGGCCGGAATGGTACTCAACTGCGCTCGCGGCAGGAATCGAGCCCCGTGCGGAGTAAGAAGCGCTTAGCTCCTTGGCCGACGCCTTAGCCACTGGACTAAGGCGTCGGCGAGAACATATGTAAACATGTTTGAAGGACCTGTTACCGGCAATATCCCGGAGGTCCTGGACAACGGAGAGGTGACTGACGGCACGCACGTCACCGCAGGGCAGCTGGCCCTCGCTTTGACGCCCTACGCTCAAGTAACGGACCTGGCGGTGAACACGGCAGCGTCCGGCAACAACGCAGCGGCCATCCAGTCCCTGGACGACAGAGTCACCGCAGAGCTGGCCTCAAAGCTGGACAGCAGCGCGCTGGCGCCGGCAATTGCGCCCCTGGCCACGGCGGCGGCCCTGGCCACCACGGACGGACAGGTGGCCGCGCACGGAAGCAGCATCGCCGCGCTGCAGAGCTCGCTGACCACGGGCCTCTCCAACAAGGCAGACCAGTCGGCCTTCGACGTGCTGGAGGGCGTGGTGGCGACGAAGAGCACCCCGGACGGCGTGGACCTGAAGCTGTCCAACTACAGCACCACGGCGGCCATGAACGGCTCCATCGCCTCGGCCAACAACGCCACGCTGGCCACGGTGGCCGCCAACTACGGCCTCAAGACGGTGGTGGACCAGCACTCCCTGGACATAGCGGCGAGGATCACGCCGCTGGAGGTGGACACCAAGGTGGCCAACGCTCTCCTGGGGGCCGTCACCGCCGCGGCGCTGGCCTCCGAGCTCGCGAGCAGAGACGCCACCATCTCGGGGCTGCAGGCCTCCAAGGCGGACGCCAGCGCGCTGACCGCGCACGCCCTGCAGTCTACCGTCGACACTTCCTCGGAGGTGGACTCTAAGATAGCAGCGGCCCTCCTAAACGCAGTCACCACGGCAGCCCTGGACGCCGCCCTCGCCGGCAAGGCGGACGCAAGCGCGCTGGCCTCCCTGCTCTCCACGGTGGACGGGTTGGACACGCCGCTGGAGGTAGACACCAAAATAGCAAATGCCCTGCTGGGTCTCGCGACCGAAGCCTTCGTCGCAGCGCAGCTTGCTAGCCGGGACGCCGGCATCACGGCGCTCCAGGCCTCCAAGGCCGACGCGGCGCTGCTGGCCTCGTACGCCACGAACGCCGCGCTCTCCGCCAGCGAGACCGCGCCCCAGAGCGCCCTCGACGCAATCCTCGCGGAGCTCGCCGCCCTGCAGCTTTCCGGCGGCGGAGTTGTTAACGCGCCGGCCTGGGCGGGCTTCACAACTTGGGAGCTCCTTCGCGGAGGCAACGTCGTTCGCAACCTGCATTTCGTGGCTCCTCTCTCTGCTGCGCTTGCCAACGGCGACGACACGCTGAGCATCACGGCAGACTGCTACTCCACGGCGGGCACTGACGCTGCCATAACAGCAGCCTTGCTGGCCTACTACACTTCCTCACAAGTGGACACTCTGTTGGGAGACTACCGCACCGGAACGGCGCAGGACGCGGAGACGACCAGCGCCATCACGGCCGCGCTGCTGGCCTACTACAACGCGGCGCAAGTGGACGCGCTGTTGGGAGACTACCGCACGGCGAGCGCGCAGGACACGCAGACGCAGGCGGCCATCGCGGGCGCGCTGCTGGCCTACCGGACGGGCCCGGACCAGGACGTGTTCACAACCAACCAAATCACCTCGGCGCTGGCGGCGTACCGCTCAGCCGCCGACCAGGACACGGCAACGGCCTCAAGCATCGCCGCCGCCCTGCTCAGCTACTACACCATCACGCAGGTGGACGGTTTGTTGGCCAACAAACTCGGAGTCACGGAGGCGGCCTCGACGAGGTGGTGCCGCCATAGGAGAGCAGATCCTGGCCCCCACGGACGTCTCACTGTCAAACTGGACGGTTCGCCCCAGCAGCGGCTGCAGCGTGGTCCTGGCCACGCACACCGCGGGCGCAGCGAGCGTGGACGGCTACACCCTGACCCTGGCGGCGAACCCGAGGAACATTGTGCGCACCTACAACTTGACGCCCGGCCGAGAGCTCCTCTTCGCCTGCCGCTACCGGCTCGGCACGGCCTCCAACTTCGTGGTGTACATGTCAGAGGCCGACAACGTCTACGACCCATTGTACGGCAGCTTCGTGGGCGACCAGGGCGCCTGGAGCACGGCCAAGATGTACTTCACCGTGCCGCCAAACGGAGTGGCGAAGCTGCACTTTGGTGCGCACTTCCAGGCGCCGGGCCTGCCCAACCAGACGGCAGGAACGGTGGACGTCTACGGCCTCCAGATCCTGGACGCAACCCTGGAGGCCGGCAACACAGCGGAGGTCGAGGCAGACACGACGGCCTCGGCCCTGCTGTTGAAGCACGAGTTCCTCGACGGAGGGGCCGACGACGTCACGCTGGCCACCCTGGGCGAGGTGCTGCTGGAACCCACACTCACCACATTAGGCAACTTCCTGGTGCGCTCCAACAGCCAGAGCTCCGTGGCCTCGGCAAGCTTCACTGTGGGAGGCTTCTGGAGGGCTACGCCATGACCCTGAGCGCCTTCGCCTGGAACATTGTGCGCACCTACACGCTGACGCCGGGGAGACGCTACTCCTTCGGCTGCCGGTACCGGCTGGGCACGGCCTCCAACTTCCTGGAGGTCTGTCCATAGCATTTTTTTGCGCAGAGGCCAAAAAAAAGTGGTCAACGACCACATTTTCGCAAGGACCAAAACGTGATTTCGTTCAGAAACGCGCGACATGTGACACCCAAGGTGCGACATGTGACACCGAAGGCAAATTGGCACATGGATCTCTATAAGAGCATGGCCCGGGTTCATGAACATGCATTTGCCACAGGCGCACGCGCCTTGAGCCAAACAACGTTATATGAAATCAGTGCAGGCACGCGACGCAGGATGCAAGCTAGGCGAGCCAGTATCAAAGGTCGTTGGGCGAGCCAGTATCAAGTGTCGTTGGGCGAGCCAGTATCAAGTGTCGTTGGGCGAGCCAGTATCAAGTGTCGTTGGGCGAGCCAGTATCAAGTGTCGTTGGGCGAGCCAGTACTATAGCGCACGCTCGTTTCCCTTGAGCCAAAACGTAAGCCAAAATGATGCGTCCCCAAATTCGTATCAAGGGTCGTTGGGCGAGCCAGTATCAAGTGTCGTTGGGCGAGCCAGTATCAAGTGTCGTTGGGCGAGCCAGTACTATAGCGCACGCTCGTTTCCCTTGAGCCAAAAGCTAATTAGCCAAAATGGATGCGTCCCCTATATATATATATACACATCTATCTAAAAAAACTATTTGCAACAGTTGTCACACATATATATTCCGAAAAATGTGTGTTCATATATTTTTTGCGGGGCCGAAAAAACGCACACACAAACACACACATCGATCTGAAAAAATATTTTCACAATTGTTCTCACATATAATATACATGTATTCCGAAAAAAAACAAAACTGCGCTGCGATGAAAAGCGCCGACCCCAAACCCTAAGCGTGCAACTGCTCCGTGGCTGTTTTCTCACTCTTGCGAAAGTTGCCCGTTGAGGCGCAGCAAGAAACGCTGAAGCAAGCGCTTCGAAAGCGTACTTGCGTGGACCGCTCCGCGTGCCACACTGCAAGTTTTTCCAACATTATCCTCTTCTGTCCAGCAGCTCACAAACCGGCAGTTTAGCCGAGTGTCTCGCAAGACTGTCTCGCACACAAATGTGTGGAGCTTCGGCCTCACTTTCCACAGCGGCCGCTTCTCCTTTGATGCCTTGTCCGCCAGCCAGACAAGACACTGAGCGTACAGCACGCCCAACCTTGCAGATGCGGCGAGCCAAGCTCATGTGCGAATCTGAACTCGTGTGAATATGCATCCATGGTCATGAGCTATCCCAAACTCTGCCAAAAAAAAACGAGGCTCCAATCCGGTTGCATGCATTCGAATCTCTGCAGGCAGGATGCTCCCGACAACGGGCATGCGCCTCGTCATCCAGCCACATCCCAGAATTGTCAACCAGGTAGCTCCACTCGTTCAAGCTCCATGCCAGCACAGCTGGCATGCCAAGTTCAGGGACGTCGGTGTCCTCAAAAAAACCGAGGACGCAACACACATTTACATTCAGCGCAACTCAGCCCCATCGATTGCAATCATGATGGCAGCAACATGCCCCAGCAACGCAAACTGCAGCTTAAGATCTCGCAGCAGGTGGGCCAGAAAGTTGATCCTTGCATGCACGCGCATGGCGCCAATCAAGCTGGGATACTGAAGCAATTGACATTGAAAATTAAAGTCTCATGCATGCGTGCAAGAAAAAAACAATGAACGTCAAAGTACATGTGCGTACAAAGGCGCAGAACCTTGTTGTTCCATCCTTTGCTGTAGGCCAGCGGGAAATCCAGCGACAAAGTGTCCACCCCCAATTTTTGGAGGGACAGCTCTTCCAGGGAAGACGATGGGATGTTGTGCTCCTTGCACCATCGCCACATGTCGGTGCTGAGGTGGTGCAGCCTGTCATCGAACGTGCTTAAGTGCTGGTATTGAGGAAGGTGCTCAACCTCAGACAGCGCACCAAGCAAATGACAAACACGGCTCGATCAGTGAGCCCATGAAACAAATCGCATGCATGCATGCATGCGCCCTCAAAAAAGGGCAGTGGAAACACGGCAAGGCGCCGACACAAGCGCAAGGCTTGCCGCGCTGTCGCGAGCTGTCCCCAGCCAGACAGAGTGCAGCACGTCAGCATGTTCCATATGTGGCGTCCAGCCGCTCAGTTGCCACATCCTTGTTCTGCCACACAAAGTGCATGAAACCACCCGAGAAATAGGTTTTGCGCATGCAACAAAAATATCTTGAAAAATGCCATCAAGGTCAAGGTGCGGAATGCCCTCTCCCACACCTACAGACGCAGATGATGAAAAGACCGCAGTTCGGGCTTTTTGCACGCATGCACTCTTGCAAGATTGAGCTGAGAGACTGGACATCGTGGCTGCTTCAACTTCCTCGGGCTGGTTGAAGGGCAACCCAAAGAAGTCCAACCAAGGTCGGTCGCGCCGCCCAGCAAAGCACCTGCGGCAAATCTCACCACCTCCCGAGGACAAATGAAGATAGTTTCTCTTCTCAAGAAGCCACTCCACCTTGTACTTTTGGTCGCCCTTCCCCGCCAGGTAGCGCACGCTCCAACCGCCAAGCTGAGGATCAGGCTTGCTGATCACGTTCAGCATCCTCACAAGATGGCCTTGCAAACTTTGCAGTGTCAGGTTGATAGAGCCGTCATAGGCGAACAACTTCGATGGGATCACCTATAGGATCATGCATCAACACGCAGGCGCAAAATGCGGCACGTTCAAGACAATGTGCTTATATGGCCCACACAGCGGCGTGCGCACCAAGAGGGCTGAAGGACATGATCATGATCGGCTTCTTCCGCTTCCCTTCGCCCTCATCTCCGTGCAAGGTGAAGCCGCAAGCGCGGCCTCGCTGTTCCTCTTCGAACTGCTGCACAGGGTGGTGCCTCGGCACATGTAAGTGCGCAAACAAAGGAAGGCACTCAAACAATTGGAACGAAGCCCGCATTCCAAAACAAAAACAGGGGATGTCGTTTTTTGTTCTTCTTTTTTTATTTCTTTCTTTTTTCCAACAGACTTGGTGGTGAAAAGAGGGCTTCTCAGAATCGGGGATTTCTTCTTGGGATGGTCATGTGGGTGTTCTTAAAGGGAACCACAGGGAAAGCCACCTATGTGCATGGAGGTCCCCAATTTTGAGAACACCCAAGACTTGATGTGGCGCAAAGTGGCTGTGCCTCAAAAACCAAAGAAACATGCCAGGTCTCTCTCCCCATCTCTCGCTGCGGGCGCGAACCCAGAAATCAGACCAATCGAAGTTGCCAGTCCTAGGATGTGTCTCCACCGGCACAAGGCAAAGTAGTGGCGCCAAAAAAAAAGAGTAAATATAAGTAAATACATGCTCATTCACCATACATGCAAGCATCATCAACTCCCACCGGCCAGCCTCAAAGATCGCCCGGCACATGTGCTCCGGACTGAAAACTGGCCACTCCTTGTAGACCACACGCGCGGGCTGAGCGCCCTTCACACATGGCCGTCTTCTTTTCGCCTTGGCTCCCGCCTTGGCTCTCGATTTGGCTTTCGGCTTTCGAGCAGCCCCCACTTCCCGAGCTGCTCTGATGTCCAGCACCGGCAGCACCACATAGGAGAGCTGGCACTTGATGGCCCCAGCCTCGGATTTTAAGTGAAAAAAGGAACAAAACAGCGATGTCTGGATCACCTCCCCCAAATCAGCCAAACTGCGTCATTGCTTCTGTTCATTTCTCTGTGAATAGATCGCTCGCAATGCCCTCGATATCCGCGTTTGCGAATCAAGGAAGCGACCCACTTGGTGCCTGCAAGCATGCAGTGTTTTCAAACGCTTCTCGGATCGATTGAAGGGGGCAAATGAGTATGTGACGCAGGATTGCCAAGGCACTCTTCGACACATTGCCAGCACCGGCCTCCTCCACAGCAGCTGCAGCAAACTTCTGGGCCAGGTTCGCCGGCTCTGCCAACCTGCTCAATCGCCACCCGCATGATCGGGGACTCCTCCAGCGAGATCCGCGGCTGATTGGCCTGCTTCTCCGCCCCATTGCCAACAGCTTTGCGCTTGAGGTTGCGCAAGCGCCTCAGCATCCTAAGATTCACAAAGTTTGGTCATGTGTGCATGTGTGTGTGCACACATGTGCGTGTTTGTTTGCAAGGCTTGCGAATACAACATCATGTGGCTTCTCGAGGTCGCCTTTTTTTAACTCTTGGTTTTTTGGATGCAATGAAAATTATCTTCATGCAGATTCATGGCTGGAGCAATTGAAGACCGGATGGACAAGAATGAGTCGCACATACAGCATGCACCTTCAACTTCAGCATCACGCTCCAACCTACCTATCCCATGCACGGCGCAAGTTTTTTTTCCACAGGACTCAGCGTCGTACGTTGCGTGTTCATCACGCACCCCAAACCCTAAGATGGCACCGCAGCATGGCGCATCCAAGACCCATGCAAAGCCATGCTCATGCAACCATCTCCGCATCATGTATGTAAGTGGGTGTCACGTGTCATGTCATGAACATGGCTCTGCAGAAAGCAAATGTTCCGGGCTCAGCCGCGAATGAAAATCAAACAAAAACAGCCGTCATTGACTCGATCAAGGAAACTTGCAAATTTAAGGCTGTTAACAGCACGTTGCTAAGCTTCCGGAGCGCACCCTAAGACTTGGCTTTTGCCTTGGCCTTGCCTTTTGGCTTGCCGAGCACCTCCCTCTTGTGGGACTGCAGCAGGGCGTTGGCAGTTTTTACATGTTTGCGGTAGCCAACCACCCATGTTGAAACGCTTTGGAGCACTTGAGCCACAGCATCTTTTGCCGGGCGTGGCCCCAAGTTGAGCAACTCCTTGCGCGCGACCCCCAAGTGGTGGGAGCAGTCAACGAGGAGTTGGGCCAGGGCAGCCTGGGATTCCAGCTGCTCCAGCCTGGGTGCAAAACAAAGGCATCCAAAAAAAAAAGCGCATATATACATGGATACAATGAGTCGATCAGGCACAAGCCGAGTTGCTGAGCAGACACAGTTGTGCAAACTCCTTGTGCGTCTGTTGACGCCTTCACCCACGCCTGCAGGAAAGCAACTGGGTCATCCTCCTCGGCAATCATTTCCAGCTGGGAGCCGTTTTGCTTCTGCTTCTTGACAGCTGAGTTGCGCTTACGCTTCTTATTGTCATCCTCACCTTCCACAGTCCCTGCAGGGGTGGGCGGAGCAGACGAAGTGCCGGGCTCTGCGATGGGCGTGGATCCTGCTGCCACATGTGTCGCAGAGGTCATTCTCTTCATCAGATCCAGCGCGACCGATCCCTCACATCCCACCTCCATACACACATCTTCCTTGCCATTTGTCGGGTCGACTAATTCAGCAACCTATAAACAAATGCATGCACATGGTCATGAAGCACACAAGACTGCCACCAAGAATCAAAGCTTTTAGTGCTGGTCGAGCGCGTTTGCTCCCCATAGAGCAGGAAGGTCTCCACGGTGGGATCGTTCCGATCGAACGATGTCCTGACTCCATGTGGCAGCAACGGGCCAACGCCAACTTTCGAACACCGTGTCTCTTTTTCAAAAAAACTGCCAAGCAACCACCATGCGGTGGCTTTGTGGGATCAAAACCTGCCAAAAACTTAAGCGAGCCGCCCATGTTGCTCACATCGCCTGCGTGCAGCAAAGCGGTTCGCCTGCAGCACGTCGTTGTTGAAATGCTGCATCACCGCGTCCCACTTGACGTACCGGCCTGGGCTCTATGCAGCCCTCCCACAAAAAAACACCATGATTCAATTGGGCACCATCTGACTGGCGGCCAAGCGACCCGCGTCTCGGTCTTCGGTTTCCTGCAGCTTTCGAAAGCGAAGCACTGCCTCCACAGCAAATCCGTCTCCTGCACAACCCAGACACACCATGAAGGCACACGTGCAAAATATGCAATTAGGAAATTGATCTATCAGCGACCCAAAAAATAAAAAATGGCCCCATGATGGACACCCAGCCTTCAGCGGCAATGAACTTCGCAAAGGCTGCCGTGCGGCTGTCTCCACCTCTCCTCAGCTTGGAGTTTGGGTGGGTTCTCCACCCCAAACCCTAAGACATCACAATTGAAGCTGAGGTTCTCAAATGAACGTTTCAGCTCATCAGTGTTGGCACCGTTCCGCTTCACGAACCTCTCGAACTGCCGCCACTCTTTTGGGTGTGTGTTGCTGTTGCAGCGCTTCGGGATCACAGCCAGTTGAGTCGCCTCGAGATCAACCTTCTCAGCATTCTCAGGCTGAGATGACTGCGAGGGCAGCCGGGGTGGCGGCTCCCCCTGCTGAGGGGGCGACGCAAGGGCTTGGGCGGGCTTCTGCTGTGTGTGTTGTGGGTGGACCAGCTCCCCATCCTGGTGGGAAGCTGGAGAGGGCGATGCAAGGTCTTGGGCGGGCCGATGCGTGTGTTGCGGGTGGACCAACTCCCCATCCTGGTGGGGAGCTGGGGCGGTCTTCTGCTGTGTGTGCTGCGGGTGGACCAGCTCCCCATCCTGGTGGGGAGCTGGAGCTGCAGGGGATGGCTCGCTAGCTTGAGCTCGCTCATGGTGCGGCGGCTGCTTTGCAAAGGCCTGTGCCAGCTTCAGGGCTTCGAGGAGTTGGGCCAGCTGTGGGGGCTGATGGGTTGGGACGGGGCCCTCTTGGTGAGTGGCAAGGGCTTGTTGCAAGTCGCTGGCCGATTCTGGAGCTTGGGACGGGTTGTGGTGAGTTGGAGGTTGCTGCGGGGTTGGAGGAGGTGTTGCAAGGGCTGGGGTTGCGTTTTGCGATGGCTCCTGCGAGGGGGCTGGTGGCTCCTGTGCAGCTGGCGGCGGCAGCGCAGTTGCGCAGGACGACAAGGCAAGCCCGGGAGCTTGAATCGATCGAGGCGTGGGTGCGGCACTTGATGTTGGGCTGCACGAGGTATCAGCTAAAGCCTTTGCCACAGACTCGAAACCCTGTGAAGCCAAAGCTGCATCGACTAGAGCTTCACCATCAAGCTCAAGCAATTCTGCCTCGGTCAAAGTCAAGGGAGACGCCTGCAAGCTTGTTGCAGGAGGTGACACGGCAGCAGCCCCTGCAGGGCTGATGTGGGTTGGTGCCGGCGGCGCAAATGGTGCGCCATGGCTATCACACGGGCGGCTTGTCGATAAAGGCGGCGCAGACTGCGTGGATTGGTTGCCATCTGCTGGCAGACCCTCGAGGGTTGGCTGGCCCACTGGGGCGGTGCCGGCGGCTGCACTCAGCAAACGCTGAAGCGCAGAAGGGTCGAGCTGGGACAGAAGGGCTTGCGCTTCCACAAGCAAGTCAGCTTGTGCATTGGGAGGTGTTTCCTCCAAGGGTAGGGTCTCCAGCTGCGAAGGGTCCTTGGGCTGGGTGTCCAGCACTGTCGCACCATGGGGTGCCTGGTCTGCTGACGCGTCGTCACGCCCGCTGCACATGGATGAGGTCTCGCTTGGCGCAGCAGGGTCTGCAGCGGGGCTGCCCAAATTGTTCCAGTACTTCGCATATTTGGCCTTTGTTGGCCCATCCAGCACTGGCAAGGAATCGGGATCCTTGTCCTGAAAAAGCACATGCACGCGTGAACATGTGGCATGCAGAGACCTTTCAATGAAGCGCTCCTGCTTGCGGGATTTCTTTGGTCTGGTAGCCGGCTTTGGCACAGGTGTTGAGGAACCTGTGTCAGCATTGGCCTTCCATGTTGCAGCCAAAGCTGATGACTCGGGCGGCGCGGTCAGGTCTTGCGCCGCCAACAAATCCAGGCCAGCATCCAAAGCTGCACCCTTGTGGCAAGTGCTGGCCAGTGTGGCAGCGCTGGTGTCATTCGGGACCAAGGACTGCGTGACATGTGTGTACTCGCACAAGCAACGAATGGAATATCTTGCAAATCTGCGAGCAACCAACTGCCAGTGCCTGGTGCATAGCTGCCGCATCGCTGGTGTCCTCAAAGGATCCTGTCCGGCCAACCGTGCTTGCTGATCGAGCGGGCGACTGCAGCGCGTTCCTTACCCACAATGACATGAAGTTGACGGCCGGGAAAAAAACACATCCCTAACCACATGGTGAATTCGTTGCGGTCACACGCAACATGACCCTCCCAATTTGCGAACTCAGCGCTGCACATGCGGCCCCGCACTTGATGCTGTTGCTCCGGCGTCAAAGACGCCATGGTGTCCGCCAGGTGTGCATCAATGCGACGCACAAGTGCCTCCATGGCATTGCGTGCACCCACCATGGTTGGACAATGTCACACACACAAGACACATGTCTGTGCGCCCGGCAGCTTGATCCGGATCCTGCTCGGTGGTCATGTGTGCCGCAGAAGCTGACATAGCGAGTGGCTAGGCGGTATCAAACAAAAGGGTATCATGTGTGTGACAGTGTGCTGCAATTTTGGGCAGAATGTACCAGGTTGATGCAGCGCACCTGATTTTGACAAAAGGTTTGCTCCTTCGTATACAATTCAATTGATGTGACATACAGTGCAACCTGCATCAGCTT